GTAAACCGGGCTTTCGACTGGAAATTATTAAGCGTCGGACGAAGAGTTCAAGTGAATTTTGTTTCACTTTTCCGAGCTATTTTGAACATTATTTCTTCCGTATACCTATAATGTAGTTTGCTAAATGTATTATCAGTCATCCTATCAGTTCAATTTTGCGTAGACAGAATATGCTCAATGCATTCTAAACAACAGGTTACACAATTCAATCTTTTCCTCTCTTGGGTATAGTTAAATTTTAGCTGTAAGTCAGCCCTGTGAGTTATTTTTCTCCGATCGCAGTAGCTGCCTAAAAATTTCACCATATCTTTGTAACGCGCTGAGATTTGTAAGAGTTGTTAGTTTCTTTAGACTGAGCACTGAAGCATCGAGCACCGTAGAGAAATAGTTTTGTTGATTTTCTTGATTACTTAGATAAAATATGAATCAAAACTATGGACGAAAATTTGCATAAAAAGAAGTATAAATAAAGGATATTCCTGGGAATTCGGAGCCTGGAGAAATCCCGAACTAGGCAGGCTTAAGAAGGTACCTTTCAGAGTTGTTCTAATGTTTACAACTTTAAAAACATAATTTTCGCAACTTTAGATCTGGAAAAGTTTTTGATAAAAAAGAAATTATGCTTTTTTGCTTTGCTCTCCTTTCCAAATGAATGTATAGCGAAGGGCTAAGGGGGGGAGTGTGAGAAGTGACGTCATTGGCAATATAATGAAGGTTTCAGAGAGGTGGTGACACAGGGGGGCAGGGGCCTAAAAATCTTTAAATTATAGGTGATATCATTTATGCTTGACCCTGTCATGAATGTCAAATGTCTTGTCTACACTATACTATCGAACCTTGTTTCAGCCTGGGTAGGGGTTAGAGTGAACCCAAGTAATATTTTCTGTAGTGCGAACACAAAGTTACCTAGCCAAGGTTGATCTGGCCGGGGCTGACTCGGCCGGGGCTGACTCGGCCGGGGCTGACTCGGCCCGGGCTGACTCGGCCCGGGCTGACTCGGCCCGGGCTGACTCGGCCCGGGCTGACTCGGCCCGGGCTGACTCGGCCCGGGCTGACTCGGCCCGGGCTGACTCGGCCCGGGCTGACTCCGGCCGGGCTGACTCGGCCCGGGCTGACTCGGCCGGGCCTGACTCGGCCCGGGCTGACTCGGCCACGGGCTGACTCGGCCTGCGGGCTTGACTCGGCCCGGGCTGATGCGGCCGGGCTGACTCGCCCGGGCTGACTCGGCCGGGCTGACTCGGCCGGCTGACTCGGCCCCGGGCTGACTCGGCCCCGGGCTGACTCGGCCCCGGGCTGAAATCGGCCCGGGCTGACTCGGCCCGGCTGACTCGGCCCGGGCTGACTCGGCCCCCGGGCTGACGTCGGCCCGGGCTGACTTCGGCCACGGGCTTGAACTCGGCCCGGGCTGACTCGCCCAGAGCCTACCCGTTCCCGGGCTGACTCGGGCCCGGCTGCTCGCCCTGGGCTGACTCGGCCCGGGCTGACTCGGCCCGGGCTGACTCGGCCCGGGCTGACTCGGCCCGGGCTGACTTCGGCCGGGCTTGACTCGGCCTCGGGCCTGAACTCGGCCCGGCTGACTCGCCCGGCTGACTCGGCCGGGCTGACTCGCCCGGGCTGAACTCGGCCCGGGCTGACTCGCCGGGCTGACCCCCGTGATCGGCCCGGCTGACTCGGTCCAAACGGGCTGACACGTCGGCCCTCGATCGGCCGCTGACTGACTCGTCCGGGCTGACTCGGCCCGGGCTGACTCGGCCCGGGTGACTCGGCCCCGGCTGACTCGGCCCAGGGCTGACTCGGCCTTGGGCTGACTGAGCGCCGGGCTGAATCGGTCCGGCGCTCGGCGGGCTGACTCCGGCCCGGGCTGACTCGCCCGGTGCACGCATGAAAGACCTCGGGACCCGGGCTGACTCCGGCCCCGGGCTGACTCGCCCCGGGCTGACTGGCCGGGACTGACTCGGCCCGGGATGACTCGGCCCGGGCTGACTCGGCCCGGGCTGACTCGGCCCGGGCTGACTCGGCCCGGGCTGACTCGGCCAGGCGGGCTGATCGGCCGGGCTGACCTCGCCCGGGCTGATCGGCCCGGCTGAACTCGGCCCGGGCTGACTCGGCCCGGGCTGACACGGGCCCGGGCTGACTCCGCCACGGGCTGACTCGGCCCGGGCTGACTCGGCCCGGGCTGACTCGGGCCGGGTGCTCGGCCCGGGCTGACTCGGGGGCCTGGGCCCCTGAATCGGCCCGGGCTGACTCGCCGGGAACTGACACTCGGCCGGGCTGACTCGGCCCGGGCTGACTCGGCCTCGGGCTGACTCGCCCGGCTGACATCCGGGTTGGTTTGAAAATAATGTTATTGTTCTCACAGGCGAAAGAGGGTTTGAGCCCTGTTTAACTTTTCTACTGCGCAATGCGGAATAAGGTTGTGATTGAAAAAGGGCGACGATTTTTTTCTCTGCATCTTTTCGCGAGCTTGGCTTTCTATTAGATTCTTTAAGGTTACGGTATAACGTTTGCTATTAAGGTTACGGTAATCGTATAACAGGTACTAAGTGGAAATAAAATACAATGAGTCAGCCGCCTTCCTCCCCCCCCCCCCCCCCCCCCCCAAATATGAATTTCGTTCCCACAGCACTGTCTCTGACAGTCAGATACCCTGGGCATCAGAGCCACATAAAACAGAGAGCGGAAATAGAAGATAAGAGTACGCTCATTCGATTCTCTGCTTGGGATTCTGTTTACGCGCTCGAAATTTTGTGGCTCTGGGACCCAGGGTACACGTAAGATTGAACACATGGCTAAAACAACGGAAACCAGGGTTTGGGTGGTTTGAAGCGCATGTATTGGGACTTTCATCGCAATATAATCAGTCTAGGGCATTAAGTATTTGACATTAAGTTAAAAAAATTTCTGCAATTTTTTGTGTACAGGGCCCGGGTGGCGATCGCCACTTTGCCGCCCGGGCCAGACCCCCCTGACCACACTCGTTGCTTGTAATTATTCTTCAGTACAATACGTCCCTCCCTGCATCTTTAGGCCTATAAAATACTTTCGGAGTTAGGGCTGTCCAAACCTTCGGATATTCCTATTCGGTTATTCGGCTTAAAATTCAACGAATATTCGGTTATTCGGCGAATATGGGTGTGGTAAAATGGGTGTGGTAGGGTGGTGGTAAAAAATTGCAATCTGAAAATTTCTTGTAATTTAACCAACCTGTGAATATAGCTTATCAGTCATTACTATTCGATAAGTCAGAACCATTAATTTTTTTGTTTTCCTATTGATATTTCCTGTGTTTTGAGTAACTTCAAAGGGTGTGCTGCAAAGCAATTTTTAAAACGATTTTTTGTCAAAAATAAATGTTTTCTCGAACCTTCCCTAGCATTAGTTGCCCCTAATGGCCAGAAAGTCAGTATCAAATTAACGAGAAACCATAGTCATACGTTTTCAAAAAGGGTCGTTTTCCAACATTTTCAAAAGTGAAAAGCTTTCTAGCACGGGCTTCGACACAGGTTGGGAAGTGGAGGGGGGGGGGAGAAAATTTAACACTCACAACAAAAGATTTTGTGAAAAGTTATATTGTTCTGCAAAATAGTGTTAGAGCCATAGACCCCCGGCCTCCCCTTCGTTGGAGGCCCTGTAGCACAAAAATTTCCCTAGGAAAAGCCCCATGACCCCCACCCGCAACTCACGCTCCACTCTCCCTGCCCCCTTCAAATCTTGCTTTATTGGCTTTGTAACTATTTCTTGGGTTTGCGGTTTTTGAAGAAGGCCCGTATCCATGAAACTCTCTCTAAGATTGAAGATAGGAAGTTGCCTTTCTCCTTTAGAACAATCCTTGCTATTCGACCAGTCAGTGCTATTCGGTTGGCAATTGCTATTCGATCAGTCACGGTTATTCGAATAGTCACAGCTATTCGATCAGTCACGGTTATTCGAATAGTCAACGCTATTCGATGAGTCACGGCTATTCAAACAACCATTGTGGACCTCCAACAGTGAGGTTATTCGCACTATTCGTCTCCAACCGAATAATCGTACTATTCGAACTATTCGTTTGTAACCGAATAATCGTACTATTCGAACTATTCGCTTGTAACCGAATATTCGCTTTGGGCTTCAGCTAACCGAATAGTGAAACAGGTAACCGAATACCGATTATTCGACCTTCGGTGGACAGGCCTAATTCAAACAACCATTGTGGACCTCCAACAGTGAGGTTATTCGCACTATTCGTCTCCAACCGAATAATCGTACTATTCGAACTATTCGTTTGTAACCGAATAATCGTACTATTCGAACTATTCGCTTGTAACCGAATATTCGCTTTGGGCTTCAGCTAACCGAATAGTGAAACAGGTAACCGAATACCGATTATTCGACCTTCGGTGGACAGGCCTAATTCAAACAACCATTGTGGACCTCCAACAGTGAGGTTATTCGCACTATTCGTCTCCAACCGAATAATCGTACTATTCGAACTATTCGTTTGTAACCGAATAATCGTACTATTCGAACTATTCGCTTGTAACCGAATATTCGCTTTGGGCTTCAGCTAACCGAATAGTGAAACAGGTAACCGAATACCGATTATTCGACCTTCGGTGGACAGGCCTATTCGGAGTACACTTTCACGACAAAGATTTCTAATTTGGCCTTACCAAGAGGAAAGAAATTTGATTCATATCGAATTTCTTTTCAACAAATTCAATTTGATAAACTAAATATAAACCGTTCGAACTGTCCTACTCTTGCCATTTAGGTTCTAAAAGAAAGACAGAAAAATTCAAGAATTATATATCTAAAATGGTCTATATTATTAGGTAATAGACTTCAAAAGTTTTTTCTAATCTATATGAAGACAAAAATGCAAACAAATACTTTTTCAACTCATAAAAACACGACAAGCCACTGCCATATTCCCCCCATAACTTTGTAAACCAAAAGAGCCATAATTGTTGTGGATTTATAACCCCTCTAACTACCTGCATCAGAAAAGGCACTGAAATAGTTGTGAGCCACGAGAAAATCATTCATTAAAACAAGCAATTTTCCATACTGAACCCTATTGCAGCTCGCTTTTTGCCACTATTTAAAATGGCGGGAGTTAACAAATTTGCCTCACTCGGCAGTACGCAGCATGACACGAGTTAGACATCTAGCGCCTTCGGCGCTTCATATCATTGGTTTAATCTCTTTAGATATCAAATCGAGGCTCAAAAGACTAATTCTGTGCATTAAACATGAAGTACCCGAGCATGTTTCGTAAAATTCGTATTTTTTGAGAGTTTTTAACTATAATGGCCCCAAGTTTGTTTTCTGCAACTCCTGCCCTCCACTAAAAGATACAGGGTTCAGTTAATAAAATTGTGGCTTACTCGTGTTGTTGATGTCACTTCGCCTTAGTTTCCGGATGGCAAACAAAGAAAAGCAACACTAACTGATAAGGTAGGAATCAGTCTGGTGGAGTCTTTCACTTTTATTGATAGAAATACGAGTATCTTACTTAAGAATTCCTCTTCATACCAATTTTCTATAATAGCCATATAATATTTTCTCTATTTTTGCTCAGTCTGTTTACTTGTATCTTATATTGTAGCCTGTAGTTCTTCATTTTGTTGTTATTTAATGTTTTTGACAAAATTTGTAAGAATGCTATGTTGTGTCATGTTTGTTCCACGAGCACAACTTGTGGAATTTAAAATGAAATGAACTGAAGTGAACTGAGTATGTACCAATAAATGGAGGCTAAATTACAATAATTCCGTACGTGTACTGACTGCAGTATAACCAATGATAACATGGATAAAAATAGTTTAGCAGCAGAATGATTAGACTTATTTTTGTTTGAATAAACTTGATGGCTTTAGCAAGAGATGTTGAAAACAGCAAAAAGTGTGATTTTTTAATCATATTTCAAAATACTCTGTGATCAGGTAAATGTTGCCGGAGGTACCAGATCTCAAAATAAAGAGGGACGTTATGTCAACTGGTTATGTACCAACTAGCTAGCTTTGTTTTGGGCTAGGCTTTTAAAGAGAAAGGTCATGCTTTATAAAAAGCTAATGTTTTTTGCATTTAGACACCTTCAAACACAAACAACATCTTTGAAGTTGTTCCTTTGAAATTCCTTAAATTTCTGAACACTCACCATCACCCCTCACCCCCCCTCACCCCCCTCTCATTGTCATTTTACTTCTGTCTTTGATCTTATTGGATGGTCCTGACTTGTTATGCTTATGGCTCACTTCTCTTCCTTTGAAGGCCCAAAATTTTGATCTCAACAAGCGTAAATTCCACGACGCAATCTGATTGAGATATAAATGGCATCTAAAGTTCATGCCAACTATTTGTGTATGCGGAAAATACTTTTCCGTTGACCATGCAATGTCTTGTCAAAAAGGTGGATATATTCATCATCAACACAATGAAGTATGTGATCTATTGGGAAGTTAGCAACAGAAATTTCTAACAATGTTAGAATTGAGCCACCTCTACAACATCTTAGTGGTGAAAATCTCCCAAAGAATTCCAACAAATCAGAAGAGGCAAGGCTTGACATCAGCATACGTGGCTTCTGGAAGAAGGATCAAAGTGCATTTTTTGATGTAAGGGTATTCAACTCATTTGCATCGTCATACAGAAACCAGAAACTAGACAATACTTTTGCAGGGAATGAAAGAGAGAAGAAACGTGCGTACAGTCAAAGGGTTTTACATGTTGAGCATGGTTCTTTTAAGCCATTGATTTTTGCTCACAGTGGTGATTCAAGTAGAGAAA